CATGAAGCGCTACCTTCAGGCCCACACCCAGAGCGTGTATAACTACCACCTCAGCCCCAGAGCCTTCCTGCACTATCCCAACATTGTCATTCCTCAGCCCCAGCGCCTCGAGAAGCCCCCTCTCCCGCCACCGCTCCCCCAGGCCGAGGAGCCCCCGACCCCCTTCAAATTCAAGCTGCAGCCGCCCCCGTTGGGGCGCCGCAACCGCGACAAGCAGCAGCCCCCCGCGGCGCCCGCCGGAGAGTCCAGCAGCGCCCTCTCCATGCCTTCTCCGTCTTCCTCGGCCTCCGCCCCGGAGCCAGCGCCGCCGCCTCCGCTTCCCCAGATCAAGGTGGAGCCCATCTCGGAGGGGGAGTCGGAGGAAGATCTCACCGTGGAGGTGACAGACATCAGCGAAGATGACGAGGAGGTCTTCAAGATGCCCCTGGCTCCTTTGGAGAAGACCGAAGAGGAGGAAGCTCAGGCAGTGGTGGCGCCCCCGGTCTCTCGGGCCGGCGAGGGTGGCAAGTGCATCCCGCTCAAGCTACGCTTCAAGCGGCGTTGGAGCGAGGACCAGCGTCTGGAAGCCGGCGCGGGGGCCGAGGAGACCGACGACAAGAAGGTGAAGGGGGAAGAAGACCCCAGCGGTTACGGGGAAGCGGTAGGGGGACGCCGGATCAGCACAGAGCTCCAGCGGGCCACGGCGGAATTGACCCTTGAGAATCGGGACTCTTAGAGCTGGGGGGGGGGCGCAGCTCCCCTGCCTCCGTCTCCCTTCCTGGGACAGATGGACAGATGGATGGGGCAGAGGGGGGGGTGCTGGTTTTGCTGCCTTAACTCAGAGATGATCTTTTGGATCTTTTCATCTATTTTCCTTTCTTTCTCTTCCCCATTTATCTTGGAAATCCTGTAAATTTTATTCTCTCCTTTCTGGATGCCAGGAAAAAAAAAATGTAGGGGGCGGGGGAAGATATTGAACAGTTTTTACTTGTCTATATACATATATAAATATAAATATGAATATATATATAAACTCTTTGCAAGGGTGGGGGATTTCTAAAAATTAATATGCCAGTGTAACTTTTAAGTTTACCCCCTTCTTCAAAATCCTTTTAAGGTGTACAGTCCAGCGCCTTTTTTAAAAAATGAAAAACATAGGAGGAATGAAATATCCTCCTGTTTTGCCTTTATAGGGGATTGTGTGGTGGTCTTACGAAAGCTACCTCCCCGGGATTTTCCTTCCCCTACCCTGCAATTGGCAAGCTTAAGCACAATACACTTTTTCATCCCCAAACTGGGTTGAAAAGATAACTTAGCCATATATTTCCATCCCCATTTCATTCGCCCATCCAAACGACACTCTAGGAAGTGTGTTTGTGTTGGCGTGGGGGGGCAGTTAACCTCTCCACTGTTTTCCCCCTACTTCCCCACCACCAAAAAAAAACCCAACACCACCAAACAAACCTACGTTGACCTGGAGGGCAAGGTAGAGTATTTTGCTGCCCTGATTTTTTTTTGTTTCTGGGCAACCCTTTCCTCTGCTCCCTCCCTCCCTGCTCCATATCCTGTCATTGCGAATCTGTTTGCAAAATCCTTCGGATGGAAAGCAAGGTTGAAAAAAGATCTCTGCCCCCTCTCCCCACACCCCCATGCCCTCCAAAGAAACTCCTTCATAATGCATTGCTTTATGTAACCAAAAAAAGAGAGAGAGAAGAAGAGAGAAATGTGGGTCTGGGTATAGTGCAGCCCCATCAGCTTGTCCCGCTGTAGGGTTGGGGAAGGGGGGGGTGGGACTTGAAGGGGTTTCTTAAGTGCCTGTTGAAGTCATGTTTCCAAGGGAACATAAGCAGGGAGTGGGCACTCTTTCTTTCAAACTCCCCAGGAAGGATTCTAGGCTTGAAATAAGACAGAAGAATCGAAATCTGGACTGGCAGAGTTGTGCCGGATGGCAACACCGCCCAAGAGGGTCGTGCAGATGGTCACAACCGAATCCCCCGGATGCAGAATGGAGTGCGTGGGCAAACACATGTATGAATGGACGCATAAACAGTGTGTTTCTCCTTGCACAACCATCTGCATCTCAGTGTGTGCAAATATAGGGTGTAACTCTGCAGTGCTACAGGCTGAAATTGGGCCACCGTGATCACAGCCGGACAATACTGCCCCCACGCCATCACGGGACATGGGACGCTTCCGTCTTGAAAAGGTGACATTTCTGTGCTTTGGAGTCAATCTGTCTCCGATTTGTGCTCCAAGCCAATAAAGGCATTCCTTTTTGCCTTTTCAGCTGCTCCCCACTCAGGTCGGGAAGAGATGTTCCCGTTCTCAGCAAGGGGGGGACTTGGGGGGCGGTTGTTGTTTTTAACGTCCAGACAAAACCTCAAAAGATTAGGTTTCGGAAGGGTGCTCCTCCCCTAACGACTGGATCGAGACCATAAACTGCGGTTTGTGGAGCAAACGTAAAAGCAGGAACGTACTTGCGGGTTCTTTAGAAAAAAAAAAAACAGCCTTATTCAAATTCTTGTACATATCAAAGAAATGGGGGTGTCTCATTTTAAGAATGTAAAAAAAACAAAAGAATAACCAATAAAGGGTTTTGAGATTTCATAACTTTGGCGTCCTCTTCTTCTTTTTTTCTTGCCAAACAGCATGGCTTTTAGAAAGATCTGTCGGACGGTATTATTTTTGTCAAATTTTTGTCAGTGTTAATATATATATAAGCCTGAAATTTTTATAAGTGGTAGAAATTCTGCATCCTGGTGATAGCACTGTTTTCACCTGTGTTTTAATTTGTCTTTTACCTTGGTTAGACCCAAGCAGTGCATTGACAGAAATCATACACACATAGACTGCTTCTGTCGCTGTAAAGCTGTATCATACCTTACACAACCCCTTTTGTTTCAAGTAGATAGAAAATTTTGACCCAGTTGATCCCACCCACATGTTCTAAATTTGACACCCCCCTCTCTTGCCATATATATCTAAAGTTGCTTTGTGAGGATCAGTGGGGGGTTTCTCCAGTGTGTGTAGATCCTTGGTGTGATGAACTACAGCTGCCATTATCCCCAGCTAAGCATTACAGCTTTTCAAGGTGGCTTGTAGGATGATGCTCTGGGTTCCATACCATTTCCCCACCTCTATTCAGTTGTGGATGGTCTCAGCACCTCATTGTTGATTAAGTTTAAACGCAACTTTCCAGGCCTTGCATCAAGTCATCTTAATATTCTCTGTGAGAGAGTGCAAGCAGTTGGTTGCAGAGTGAGTGGAAATGAGCAGCTGAGATCTGAAAGAAAATGATGTGGAACCTGGAACAGGCCTTTCAGGTTAAAACTTTCCAGAAATCTTTCTCGTAGTTTGGAAAAATCTTGGGATATGTAGTAGTGCACGCACACCAGACCATTACTGTACTGCCTTGCCTTAAACCTTTTCAGATTGGTTGTGTTGTCTCTTATCCCTTCACTCTCCTAGACGCCGTGTTATTCCAACTGCAAAAAAATAAAAAAATAAATAACAATGAAAAGACACTTAAACAGAAACACAGATGTCGTTGGGTTTAGCTTTAGTTAAATATAACTCGGAACCTCGTGAATGGTCTGGTGGTAAACTGAGGGAGAAGCCAGAAGATAAATCAAACCTATACTTCGAACAAGGCCAAATGGGTCATTCTTTTTCAAGCTTCGAAGAGAAAGTTATTCTGCTTTTTCTTGCCGTTGGTGGGTTGGTTGCACTTTTAAGCGTCGGGAGAGGATTGGTGGAATTGGAATTTATAATTTGTTTTGCTCCATTCCGTTTAGAAGATGACCCGATAGTAAACTGCAGATAGGAGTTATTCTTTGCTCTTGATGGATGTGCCACCATTAAGGAGTGATCGACTTAATATTGTGCCTGCCAGCCAGAAAGACCGGTTTGTGCTGAAAGACAGGGCTTGTCTTCCACTGTTTCCTGGGGCAGGCCTTACCTTTGAAGGCTGTAAATGTTTTAGCACATCGGCTTGCCTATAGGAGAGAGCGAGCAGATTTAGCACTCAAAAAAGGAGCACAACAAGATTTGGCCCCCTCACCCTCTTGCATGGCTTTCCTCTACCAATATTCTGTAGATCCTCTAGCAATATTCTGAAGAATACGTCTCTTATCAACCACAGTTGGGGATTAGCCAGTCGTAATGGGCCATGGCCATTACTTGGTGTCATTCAGCCCAGCTGCAAGACTAAATTTAGGGAAGGTTGATGTAGATCAGACCTGGGCAAAGTGCGGCCCGAGGGCCACATACGGCCTGCGAGCCACTCCCGTCCGGCACGCGGACAGTTTTGAACATCAAAACCATTTATAGCTTTTTGTCTAAAGTTGATCAGTTGCTTATCTTTTAACATACCTCAAAAAAACCTCTTTAGTGTTCGTGAAGATTAACAAGTTTAAAATAAAAACAATCATGACATCCCTGTTTCATTTTATTTTTAAGTAAAGTTGGTTCGGCCCCCGAGCACAGTTCAGATTTTTCATGTGGCCCCCCTATAGAAATTAATTGCCCGCCCCTGGTGTAGATTCTTTGAAAAGGTGGTAGGACTGGCCTGAATCAGCATCTCGTGCGCCTTCATTTTCAAGCTTTCCAAAGAAAGAAAGAGAGGTCTTTGATATTATTCAAATTACAATCAAGGAACAAGCAACACTAGCATTTTGAGTGACTAGTTAGAAGCAACTGTCTTACCTGAAATGAATTGGTTTGGGGATAATGAAAAGTCTGTTATAGTTAAAAATTAGTGTAAATCAGCGTCACCATTACAGAATTGCAGGGCTAGAAGGGACCCTATAATTATAGGGACCCTATAATATATATGTTACTAAGGAATAAGCCACAGTGTTCACTATATATACTGGAAATATAGGAAATATATATATTTTTAATATTTGTATACTACTATTTTTTTAGCTTTGAAGTAATTGTCTTTTAATGATGTAAGCTGCCTTGGGTATCCCTTTTTTAAGGAGAAAGGCAGGGAATAAATAAATGTAGAGACATATGAATTGTTGGCAACTAATTTTTACCTGTTTATATTTCAAGACATACCAAGTTTAGGATTCAGGAAGGAGAGCGCCGTTCCCCACCCCCTGCAGAGATGCTTAGCAGCACCAAGGAAATAAGAAATAGAAGTTCAAAGTGATTTGAGAAGGAGAGAGAACTATGAAAGCAGAAAAAAAAACAAACTGTGATCCTTCTAGTGGCCAACCCTAATTTTAAATGAGGAAGTACGTGAAGCAGCGTAGGGGGACTTTCAGAGGCTCTCTGTACGTCTGGGCTAGAAAAAGAGGAAATAGTGCACCCAAGCAAACCAACGTCTGGAAATTGAATAGGTTTTTTTTGGGGGGGGGAGAACTTGAGGGTCAAGGGCTCCGAAGCCTGACTCCCCCAGTTGCACACAGTTATCTATCCTCTGTCCATCTTCTCTGGCTTGAGATTTTGGTAGCCTTCCCATGCAGTTGTACAGTCATGACAAGTAGAATCATATTTGTTAGTATTTACTCATTTAAACACTCAAAGGTCTGAACTTTTGGACTTCTAGGCCTTTCTTTCTGGCAGATCACTGCGCACACTCGAACATCTGTGCGATGTATATTTTAGTTACTTTTCCCAAAACTCTTCTCGAGACCTGCCTTTTCCCATGAAATCTTGTGACACAATTCCATAGTCTCCCTCCTTGGCTGGGCAATGTTGTCTTAATTATGTGGTCTTTCCTTCCTCACCACTTTTCTCCTCCTCCTTGGGCTGTTCCTCTGGTGCTACACAACCCTAAGCCAGCTTTTAGTGGTCTAATAAAGATACTACCCATCCTTGCCTCCAGATTGAGTCTGAAAAAACCCACACAGCTTCCCCCCCCCTTTTCTTTCCTGAAGATTTGGAAGCATAAGGCCCCTTCATAGCAGGAAACCTTTTCCTTGCTACTTCATATAACACCATTCCCCTTGTAAATGTGAAACGCAAATACAGTTGTAAGAACAATGAGGTCTATTAACTCACAAGAGCCAAGAGGGTCAGTGTCTAGCAGTAAGCCTCTGAACCTCAGGGCTTTCTACTGTCCTAAAGGTCTCCCTAAAAGTCCCTTGGGACTTTTTTCTGTTTGAGCAGAAAGTAGTAGAAGGAAGCATGGATCAGATGTGGGTGCCAGAATATCTTGTCCTTCCTGCTGTTCCTGTCG